ATACTTATTAAAGTCCAGAATGCGATCAAAATAGGCTAAAGTAATTAGCAGTAACTTAAATTATTATACATTGTTAAAATCTTGGTCCTACCGCTGTTTAGAAGGCATTCGAAGTTTAACTTCGATCATTACTACCATCGATCGCACCAGTTATGTGAAGTCCAATGATGGCACACATGGCCTCACAGAAGTTCACATTATTCATCATCACCAGCTCACTATATGCCCCCACCAAGGGGCTCGGTGCCTACCCTAATAAGGGGTGACTAGGCCATAGTCTACCACGCTGGCCAAGTTCACATCATTGCTGGAACAAATATACTATGAACCATAATGATATTTATGTACTATGTAAATAGATGTAGTATTGCTAGTAAACTGTACTAAAGATTTTTACCACGGTTGGGCGAAATATACCAACAAAACCATTTTTAATTGATTTTTGTTAAACGTAGGTTTCATCTGTATAAGGTATTGATAAACATCCATTACTTACTGTTACCATTGATTACATTTTATTGAACGGATTTTAGAATATGTTTGAGTTGGCTGTGATATATCTTTGTGGGAAGTTTATTGGTTAATTAGTCTGTAAGTCAATTTATAGCTAAAGATAGATGTGAACATAAGATTACCTAAACTTAATTATATAAAAATTATGTATATCTTCTTATAATAAAAATTAGTTATTCTAAAATTTTGCTTTGTTACTTTCAGGCTTCCTCTAATGTCCCCGTTTCTTATCTTAACAATTCGGGTTACATCACACTTTCATGTTAACATTCGCATTTCCCCACATGCAACACTCACTACGAGTAAAGAAGGATGATAAATTAACCCCAATGGATAAAACACGAAACTACCCAACATCCTAATCAATACAAGAGGAGAGGTCTTACGATGGATTAGATGACTCTCTTTATATTTTAAAATGATACTATATTTACCTTACTATATTTCGCACTTGGCAATGAATATCGTCGACGTTTTTGATTACTGAACAGAGGTAACGGAAGCAAACTATAGGAATTATAGATAAGGTCCTTGCATGGTGTATGTCAAACTTTACTTTCTGATATCATATTCAGCTCGTGGGCAGTGAGCTTGACTCACACAGTCCAAGTGGGCGATGATTACCGAATTCGGTAGTTGATGAGATGTGTATGTGTCGTAACACGCAAATCATGTTTAGTTTGAACTTGACCAAAATAGTATTTTTATGATGATCATAAATTATTCTATCAACATAGAGTTAAGGTGATGATACATATGCAGCCACAATTTTCCCATCGAGACTGACTGACTGATTGACAAATCTCATATTCCTTCCTAGCGGCGATGCAGCAAGTCTGTACCAATGTGTAATGCACGCACACACAGCGGCGCCGGCGGCCGCAGCAGCACGCACAGAGCGCACTCTCGGCTAGTCTATTGACTATTATGGCATGGCATTATTATGCACATTAATTAGTTGAATTAATAAATATTTAAATAAAAACAAAATAAAAATAGGAAGCTCTTTAATATGGCACTACCTTACAGTACCTAAACTAAGTTAATGCTACATTTTGTTGAAGGCACGCGGCCTTAAAGATAAAAAAAAAACATTTTAGTATGTAATGATTCTGGATGTGACACTAGTAAGCCAATGATTTATTTCCATCTTGTAACTTGTCGCAGATACATTCCTTACCAGGATATATGAGAACATTTTGTTTTACATTAAATTATATAAAATATTTAGAAACCTCTTTCAAGAACAATATGAAGAAAGAGCAACTATTGATAGCAATAGTGTGGGCGTGGCAGCGGCGCTCACCACACGCCACACATGACTTAATACTATGGCCGTGTACACAATCCACTTGCGGCTTTGTGTCTTTTTCATTTGCTTTTGAATACAATAAAAGCCTTTAGTTCATGTTGCTTACTTAACAAATAACTTATCAAAACATAATTTCTTAAAATTATAAAATAAAATGGCTTATAAACATTAAAAAAAATTATAAATACGACAAACGGTACATTACGGTACTGACAATTCTAACAAATTATTACACAAATATGACACCTTCTACTAACATGTTACTTATTCATGTAAAAGTAAGACATGTGAAACTTAGATGTCTCAACTGCTTTTGGTAAAAGTCCGTTAAGTTATGTAAGTTTGTGTTTATTTGCATTTACTCTATCATAAGTTTTGCCTCACATAAATGGTAAATATCAACAAATAGCAAAATAAAATTTTTCTTTACTGGATGATGACTTTTTTTGTTCATAACAATAAAATACTAGATGTCATTTCATAAGACAATTAAATCATCATATTACATTATTATCGACATTTACCATTATTATTACAAATTGTTTAAGCAAAATTACAAATAAAAGGAGTACATGATGCGCTTGCAATAATAACAAAATAATGCAAATAAATTTATTTTTGTTATTATTTAGTCTCAAATATCATGTACTCAATCTGAAAATGTTCAATTTGACAGCAAATTAATGGAAATATGATTAAACATTTAACGAGTTGGTTTTCTTAGAATCACGACATTATTGTATGAACTTTTAAAAATAGTTATAGCGATTAGGGAAATTAAAAATAAAAGCTTACATGCTAAAACAATATTGTAACTTTAACAAAGCGTGTGTCTACAATACACTTTAAATTCGATGCAATTCTTAACCTAAGGCAAAAGATATGACGAATTTAAGAGCAGACCTTACTAAAGAGAGCATCTTTACATTATTGAGTATTACTTAAATGCATAGATTGAAATTAGTTTGCCATTTCAGGGCTTTTAACATCCTTTCCACAAGCAAAGAGCAATAACTCTACTTTTCAATTGAATAAAACTGAGTCAGTGAGGGAAACCTTTCTAGCCTTACTAGTCTCCGGCTTCCGGAGGCTCTGTGTAATTCAGGAATGTTGGAGTGAACATTTCCATAATAATTTTCTCACTCTATTACTAATTACAGCTAATATTGTAGATTTCACACAAAATGTAAATTCTTCCATATCACAAACTATATGTAAACATATATATATATATTCTATTCCTTTCTATATGCATATATAATATATGTATAGTTGAGTATCTAAATATTAGGATATGGCAACTTATTGTCTAATGGAACATTCTATCAACTAAAACTCCACACTCAATGGAGTGGGAGTGTGGGTTTCACCCCGCACTGGCACCCCGCACCATATCACTATTACATATTTCAAATATTTTAGTTATCTCTTATACACTTTGTGTTATGTGAGAATTCTAGTTAACAAAATAAGCAATCCCAACTTTCTCCAATTGCAAAAACTGCAACAGCTACATATACAATTCTCTTCTAAAGCCAAGCATATCAAGTTTTAGAGTAACAGTGCAAAGTGAGATGTCGCCTATAGGACCCTGGGCCCTAAATCTTGTGCGGGATGCCAGTGATTTACTTTACTTTGCAGGAATTTGAATGCCATGAAGATTGAAAACAAATATATGTTACGGTTGAAGCAATTAATGCACGAGTTAAATAAATACCATCTGAGTTGGACAAAGTGGTCAGTGATCTAAATTATAATATTACATACTTGTATATTTTTTCTGTTATTGTAAGATTCATTGTGGTCTGTGGGGCGGAGGCCTGCGGATCCATTACACAGAGCGCCTCCCTAGTTTGGACACCAGTCTCCTGCCCAAGGGACAAATTTATAAAGCTATTTTATTTTAAAAAAATGACCTCATCGCGGGGAGCGTAAGGTGAGAGTATAGAAAGGTATATTTCAATTAACAGTCTTGCTGTGTCAGCTACCAAATGTGAGCTTTATCACAATATTCAGACATCCCACAACTATTGCTACAGCCGTAACATATATAACACCACTGTGCAATCAACCCACTGCATTCTCATTAAAGTACATATGTTTGCTCCTTAAGCAGCAGGACGGTTCCCTTAGCTTGCTGTGAGGGGTCGTGTATGGTACAGAGGCAACAACCCAACTCTGATATGTCTAATATTTTGCTGTTTTGTTGTGTATACTAATGAAATAAAATACTGAAATTTGTATTGGATTGTTTGAATATGATATGAGCCAATGAAGAGATGCAAGTGTGTAAATGAAAATTGAGAATGTTACGTCTGCAACCAATGGAACATGAGGCTGTGAACTGTCGGGTAATCCAGTTCTGCATTGGGAGAGCTTAAGAACTCTTTGAGGTTGAGGGCTACGTTGCCCGATAGCGCTGCCTCCCTCAGCTCGCCGGAGTGCGCCGAGTTGTCATCCGAGGCGCAGTCGGGGGAGGCGCCGCGCTCCCGCCATTTGTCGTCGTACGTGAGGTCGCAGAGGGTGGGCGGCTCGTCGAGGTCGCTCAGTTCGTCCTCCGGCGTGGGCCGAGGTTTGGTTTGCGCGTCGTCGGATCCGTCGCCTCTGCCTTCGTGTTGCCGCCGTGCACTCTTCAACGCGCGATACCTCCGTGACCTTTCCCGCTGTAGACGACGTTTACGTTCGTCTGCACGTTCCAACTCTTCAGGCGTCTTCTTACTCGAATTTTTGCCGAAAAAGTATCGCATAAAAGACTCGTCGCAGTTACGCTTTGAAAGATAACTGGCCATCAACTTGTAATAATATTGATTATCCATCGCA